ACTCAGGTCAAATCTTAAAACTTTTGTAAATCTAATTTACATCTGTTATCAAACTGGAAATAATACTACTATTGGCTACAAAGTGGGTCAAAAGTTTGTTTCATGAATTTTACAAACAATCTTTGGTTTAATCCAAAATTTCAGGTGAACACTTTACAACCAAAATAAATCTGTAAGTATGAGTATTGGATTTTGTTTGTTCATAACCACGTTTACAATTTTATTAAATCGTCAGTAAATCTCCTAAGGTAATTAAGCCAAATTATGATGTGGAATATTTACTCTATGTTTCGGGTTCGAGAGGTCCTTAAACAAGAGCAAACCAAGTTGGAATAATGGAGAGGAAAAAAATATATTGAAACTTTTTAGAAAGTTTTCTAGAAATCGCTTACTCCTGTTCATTTGGCCTCATGATTTTCGTTCTTTATATTTACTGTATCCGCAAGCCATACTTTCGTAAATAAATGACATAAGTTCCATGGAGACAGCTAATAAAAAGCAAGAACAGAAATTCTTTTCGTTTAAATTCAATTATAGGACAGAGACTGAGAGCATGAAATAATGATAAATCCATCATCAACCAAGATTCAGATAGGTTTTGACTTCGTTATCACCTTCAACCGTATATTCATCAAAGTAACGAATTCCAGTCGGAAATACTTGTCTTTTTAATGGTTTAAAGTCGTTCATATGACATATTTTCTAAATGTTTTCACTAATACTTTAGTACTACTTGTTACAAGTACCAAAAGCCTTGATTACATAGTTTTTTAGAACTAAAAATATCGAAATATCTACTAATAAAATCTTGTATTCATACTCGATTTCAAACCTTATCATCACTGAATACGTCATTAAATATATATAACACATTAAGAAACTTCATTTTGTAAGTTTTATAACGGAAATTAAGATATTGAATAAAATGACTGGTTCGATTTATTCGACAGTTTACACAACTACCAATGGATTATCTAATTCTCACGTTTTTAAGTCATTTTTATTAGTTACTGAATTTTGTTAGGCCTACTGAATTTAATATACAGTCTTTATACTGTATCAGTTTAATGTTAAATGTCATATGTTACGCTACTAACTGACTTTGGTCCATTTAGTTTCAAAAAACACCAACTCAATGACAGTAAACACTGATGAATGTAATTATTATTTAAATTTAAAATAAATTTGTAAATTCCAGTTTTTGATATTCATATTACTGAATAAATGAGCATTATACTCTTAAACCTAACTATATTATTGCTTTCGTAACTCTTTTTTATTATTTAGATGGCTACCGAAAATGGAAATCAGGACGCTCGTTTCGTTTTATTTGTGACTCGTCATCTAAATATACTTACACTCCACTGATGATATTCACACCAGCCCTAACCCAGTATCTTCTGCTCTAAATGACTTATACATTATTCATATTGATGTGTAACATGATATACAAATTATAATGACACGACAGTTTTTAACACATATTAGTTTCTGCAGCGTCATTAAACAGTTAAACTTTTAATTCACTTGATATTGTTTTTACTTGACTCTTCCCATTGATGTTTTAGGACTGAAATTGATCAATCTCTTATTGGCATACTGTGCGTATGCCTCGATATTGCCCTAATTTACAAGCATTATAAGCAAAGATGGATAGTGGCTAGCAGTGGAATCCAGAACGCGCGTTTCGTCCTGTTTGGGATTCGTCAGCTGGATGTACCTGCATCTCAGAGTTGATGTTCACCCTGGGACTCGAACCCAGTACCGTTCGCTTCAAACGCCATCGCGTTATCCACTTAGCTACTGAGTCCTGATAGCCACTTGCTTGTACAATGGGTTGAAGTTTAATTCACTTGATATTGTTTTTACTTGAATCTTCCATTGATGTTTTAGGACTGAAATTGATTGTAGGCTATGCCTAGACACTGTCATACACATACATGAAACATCCTGTCAACGAATACTCGTCAAGTACCCCGCACTCTACCAAACGGGAACAAAACCACAGTGTATAACCAGCATTGTTACAACCCACATCACGATCACATGGCCACCTGCAAGTGAGCGGACTAGCCGACCGGACCGGATCCCCAGATTTTCTCAGACATATTATTGACACTTTAGGCACCCAACCTTCACACGGCATTGTGGTGGGCATACTGGATTACCCAGAAATGACCACAAACAAGTAGTTATGTACGTTTAACGGCCTCGTAAGTATTTGTCGATGGTTCACACCGAATCGCGTGTCTCTCATCAGATCCTTGACAGACCAACATCGTGGGAATGCCGAAATCATCAATTCAGACGACAATGCGAATAGTCATTCTTCTCACTTAAGGAAGTTATCGCGAAATCAACTATGCTCGCACACCAGGACACAAAGGTACTGACCATGATCACAATATACGCACCCAACTCGGCTGTCGGAGGAGGCTTAGAACAGAGCGTAAACACCAGCTAACAATTTTTGGGATTCTTCTCGAAACGGTCTCGAGACACTGAATCGAGGTATAGAACTTTCGGTAGGGAACACTTGTCATTTGTTGTACTGTACGGCACTCTCAACACTGCAGAAGTTCAAAGCTTCATTCTATTTGCCGACCACAGACTTTCATCTTCTCTCTTAGCTTATCTTTATACAGGTACTCCACTCGAGAGTTTAGACAGCTGGTTTACATTTCCCAGTTTACTTCAAACATAAAACATGTTTCTGGACCAAACGATGTAGTTTCACACGCTTTGGCTCGTATAAATTCTGTACACGAGACAAGTGGAAAAATAGATATTCAACATTTAACTCGGAGAAAACCCAAAAATCAAGAAAGCGGTAAGGATTAATTCAATTCAGTCGGATGACATGGCTCAGCCTTGCGGGTGTGGTCATTCGTGTGTAACTTATCTCGTCTATTGATTTTTAGTATATTGTTCCATCTCCAGCCTAAATGTTTTCTCCATCATATATTAGTGATTCTTACGATAGGACGAAACAGTGTAGACAATGATGTAACTTTCATGTATGATTTTATAAAGTAGGTAGTCACGTTTTAGGATTAGGTCTATTATTAGAGCAGTACAAATACGAAGTATACCATAATTTTACGATACTTTCTTAGGATCAAATGGATGCCCTCACCTACTAACGTATATATACCGTTTCACACGATGGCCAGAAGCAGTACATATCTAGGACATTACTGCTGAGACAGTGGCCCACACGGTCAAAAACCCATTTACGCGACAACATCTTAACCTCCAGAAGAATTAGTAGATCATTCATCATCTTCAATGAATATGGATCTGAACTCGTCCACGACTGCAGTCTAATCTAATTCAAATCGATCGTAATCAGTTAATGTTTTCTTTTAACCTGCTTCACGAAACTTTGCACACTTATTCGTATGTCTTCTTTCATCACGATGGTTTCTCGAAATGGTATACAAATTACATTTCAAAGTAATTCATCAATAATCTAAACATTATATCGTCGATAAAACGGAATAAACGATAGATTCAGCAACAAAGTTCTTAAAGCCATGTATTTAGGAATAAACCCTAATAATGTTGATCTTCCTTCCATACACTCAAAAGATACGAGCCTCATAATGACGAAAACCTCATTCGTCATTAGGCAACAATTACGAAAATATTTCCCTGGCTTCTGACAAACGAGCTAAAATAACGCGCTTTCAGAGAAGAGTGATACCTCAATGGCACTCAAATGATAACTACGAGTAGGACAATGAGTGACACTTTATTTTACTTCGCTTGTTTGTATTATTGTGTGAAAAAAACATACTATTTAATCTAATATGCTCATGCATATGCGCTTTTTTATTTTCTAAAAAAACCAAAACAATCATCGCGTGAAAACTGTCTTTACACTAAAGTATGTTATTTATGCGCATGTACTCCACTGTTTTTCGTTGCTTGCACATTCTGCGCGTTTTTACACGCGTATGAGTATATTGTGACATGTACTTACAATCCTTCATTCTTTTCCACGACGGCTGGGAAAGATGAAACACCGACGAAGTATACGACGAACAGAAATTATCATTGTACATTTTTTCATTTCTATATTGTACCACATAACTTCTTATATTAGGAAAAGTCAATTGCATGTTACTGAACACAACAAGCAATCAGAAGTGCTTACCGATAGAAAGCTCATTATGTTTAAACTTCTGGGTGGCCACATATTCGGCAGGGAGTCCCAGCGGTAAACAAGTTAGCAAAATAGATAGTTCTGTAAGTTTTCGACGTTGATGCTGACCTCATTAGTTCTACTGAACACAATAGCCGAAGGTGCCCTGCCATGCATTTGCACCAGTTTATTACTGGGTACGCGGTGTTACAACAGCTTTTCAACTACTAGCCGGCCCAGACCAAACGCTTCTCGATATATCGATAGCCCTCAAAATATATCTTCAAACCCATTCATTTTGACTTCCTATTTGACTGAGTTGACATACTTTGATTTAGAAAGTGTTACGCGTAAAGGCGTTGTCAAACATCCTTACCAATATCTCTTGTCCAGACGGTGTTGTATAGGACTCATCAGCCAACTACAGTAGACAACATTAAATGAAGCAATAAAAAGACACCAATCCCCTCTTTCACAAAAATACGCAATTGCAGATGGAAATAATCTTTTGAATCCAAACTTCTCATAACAGTCTAAACTCAAATTTTCGCTTCTGTAATGGTGTCCGTCAATTCCGTAATTTGCTGTCATTCAAGGTTTTCAAACGAAAATATTTCAACAAATTTTATTCTTTGAGATTAAATGTCTGACCTTATACTGGTACACTAACGTTACATGTGTACTGGATGTTGAATCATCACATACTTGTTAAGACGAATGTTGCTAAGGTCAGTTGTAGCGTTGCGCAATATAAATTTTCGAAACATTTCATCCCTTAACGTGGACATGTTTTTGTTAGCAAACAGACAGCAACCAGTTTAATTATACTTTTATAAAGTTCCAATTACCTTGGATGGATGATACTTTTCATGTAAATGTGCAAAATATATGTTGCTATCTTGTTGATTGAACAGTTCATAGGTCCGGTTAACCCTGAATTTCTCTGTCCAGAAGTGTGCATAAAAACACTCCAGGATACATCTTCTGATGAGGAAAGTACACCAAAAGATAAGAGGGGGTCAGAATTCAGGGATGGTTCTGACATCTGCCAACCCGTTCTTAGGCTTGTGGATGAAGAAAACCTACTCGTTCTCCCTCCCGAAGACCAAGAAGAGAAAAGTGATGTTGATACAACACTGTACGACGATCGTAGTGACGTCGGAACGCCATCAAGTATGTTGCATATTGGTTCCCGTAATGATAGATGAAGCCGTGATAAATAAGCCGGAAACCCCACATAAATCACCAGAAACAGCTGAAGGTCAAGTTTGCAAGAAAAAAAAGAAAAAGAAGTAATCTCATCATTCATAAATTTATTTAGAATCTTTTCAGACATCTCATAGTCAATCTTTCAAACTGTAAATATGAATCAGGTTTGTTTGAGGCTCAAATTTGTAAACACCAACCATATTTATTAATAAATCTTGATGTTTGTTTGAGAGGAATTTATTTGTTGTTTCGTAAATAATAGCATTTCAATAGAGTATGCAGCAAGGCCTGGGAAATGGGTAAAAATTTTGAAGACAGCCGGCCCTTATAAAACTATTACTTTCTAAATCACACTCTGTACTAAACTATTAATTACTTGTACACATACTACCCTATTCCCACCTAGATAAATATGATACTTTTTTATTGTATGAGGTTACGGAAACTGGTAATATGCAGCTTGATGAATTCGTGTACTACAGCCAACATATACGTTGGATGTTCCGGTACATATTTTTGACAACTGGGAAAACAAAAATCTTGGTGGAAATTGAGTAACAACTATATCGCATTGTGCACTTGAAAGGTTTCAGCCAGCGATTTTAAAGCGTGAGTATCTCGCAAAGAGTAGATATACGAATATGGTTTGTGAGGAGGGGAGAATTCGGTGTGTCGTAATGAATTTTATGATTCGTCTATATTTTACATTTATCACTCTATAAATTGTTGAATAAAGTGTGGTATTTTGATCAAACCGCATAAATTATACCACTAACTGACCTGTTGAAAATTGACAGAGTAATATATCCCAACGACACGGACGGATACGTTTAAAGTTTTTCGAATAGTAGCCTGTGCGATATAATCTATCCAAGAGTATATTAAAGGTTCAGTCTACAGTCTTGCAGTTTTTCCTGCAGTTTTATGGATGCCTAAAATAGTGACGTTTCGTTAAAGTGTTATCGATATTTTATCACGAGTATATTCGAAGGTGAAGGCACGCTCTGTAACCAATATGTTGGTATTGCTAAACGCAAGTGTAAATTAATAAATATGGAGAGAAAATCAGTCTTAAAGGTTACCTTTTGAACAGGTAAAAGTCTGTAGCTCAGCTGGGCTTTCTTAAATGACTTAACTGAAAGTAGCCTAGAGCAGATGTTATAAAAAATTTGTTTTTATATCATTTATGCTGAATCTTTCCACTGATCATTTGCAGTCCTAAACAGCAGTGGAAAGTTTCAAACATGCGATTCAAAGTGAACTAAGCCTTTACCCCACTGCAAAAACTGAGGACTGTTAGGACTCAGTCGTTAAGTCAACAAGGCGATGGTGTTTGAAGCGAACGCTACAGACTTCAAGTCCCAGAGTGAAATCAACTCTGAGATGCAGGCACATTCACTTGACGAGTCCTAAATAAGACGAGACTTGCGTCCTAGGTTCCACTGATACCCATCATCATCTCTGCTTAAAATTCTATAAGTGTCTCAATACGGCAGTACTATACCTTTAACCAACAGGGTGTTGATGTGATCCACATATTATTGTGCGAACCCTTTGGTTAGAGGCTTGAAAAGTCAATAGAGTTAGCAGTTAAACACTTAAATCGGCACTGTCCAAATGTCAGTATAATTTGTGCCTCATAATCTTAAAGTTCTTTAAGCAAATTACATCCTATTTCTCTATATTGTTCACATCATACCACAGTTTAAGTCTTTTATGCTTAGTTTTGCTTTTTCATGCTCTTGCCAGGCGGTAAAGTTTTAACAAACTCATTTCTTTTAACACCTATACAAAAGGCTTCAGTGAACTGGAACTTGAAGTACTTTTTAAAAGCATAGACAAACTATGGTGATAAAATTTTTACCCAGAAAGAAATTCGAAAGTGAAAAACCCAGTAATATAAGAAAATGGTCAGCATTTACACGTTTTATTTAGTTTTAGACTGGTATTTTTCCGGAAATTTCATATAGTTTGGTAAGACAATAAACACTCGTAGAAATCTAAGCAAATAGTTTGACAGAAATAGTGTCAAGTATATATATATATATATAAGCATCTTATCCCGGTCACTAAACTTAAGTATGCCAGCGTCACTATGAAACAGACAAACTATCAACAAATTACTTTCTCACTTGAGTTGAACTCTACTTGTTAAGGAAATCATCAGACTGCTGGTACTAAAACAGTGTTTATATATATTTCCCTATAACTTCCAGATCATATGACCGACTTTTATTTGTTATTTTAGTACGTAGAGTTCTGAAACGATTTGGCTTCCGAGAGACTGAAGATGACGAAGATTGGTGTCTCTATTGGACCGATTATTCAGTTACTATTGATAAGGTTCTGGTTATGAAACAGTGGCAGGTATGTGCTGAAATGCTTTTGTGGGAGACACGATAGTTGTAACTTCTTTGAATCAATGTAACTCTCAAAGTGTCTGATGTGAAGAGAACTTATTCAAGCCACTACATTTCTAGTACATGGCGTTTCTCTTTAATTGCTGGTTATCATCTTATGTTCAGTTGTTAAGTATTATAAAAGGTGTCTCAATATTTTCAAAGGAATCCCGACTTTGTTTTGTCGTAGTTATTTGTGAGTCAAGTTACTCCGGACTTACGACGGGCAGTGTTAAAATGTGTCTAAGCTTACCGTTTTATCCATAATTTGAGCTGCAGCCTGAAACACTTCTGATTAGTATCAATTGATGTATTATGAATTGTTGAGATACTTTTAATGCTGCCTATAGCATTATAACATGCAAGAGTAAATAATAGAATTAATCAAAAAAGACAGGACAGGATAGTTAAATAAAAAAGATAAAATATTCGATTTTGTATACACAGGACAAATCTGTAGTATTGACAGATTGTCTTCTATTTTGAGCTACTCAGAGAACGACCTCTACAAGGAAAGCTGGTTAAATAAAATACACTTCTTCATATATCTGAAGTCAGGCAACCAGTATTATATGTAGATTTGACTGTTGAAATCCTACTTTTACTTTATATTACCTGTATAAAGCCTCTCTCAAATCTGGTAAACTTTATCATTTACCTTTTCAGATTAAAAACATTTTGCAAAACATCAAATGAGAAAATAAGCGTACTTTTGGGACTAAATCAACATAATTTTGTACTTAACTCTGATACATTCATCATTTGCGTTTAATTGTTGCATTCATTATTGTGTAATGAAAGAAAAACATTTAGTATTTAAGTACATATGAGACAAAGGTTTGTCAATTACAAACTTCGTATTTAATGGACGTTATTTATTGCTTGGAAATAAACAAACCCATGTATGATCACATAGAAACTGTAGAACAAATAATTGTTACAAATTAACGAGGTATAAATCACACATATTATATAAGCATGAACTACATCATATGATTAGTTTATCCAAACTAGGATGAATATGATAAAAACCTCCAACAAACTTGCTCGGAAATATAAGATACAACCTCGAATAAAAGTGCAAGAGACTAAGTATAACTAACTAATAATACTTACAATAACAGTATAAACGGTTAGTTTTATGTTGAGTGTTATTTATCGTTCGATAGTTTACCTTATATTTTTAATCAGTAATTTTAAGACAGGCTGCCCAAACAATAGTATATTAGCTTAAGTTGTCATAAGTTTTCACCACAATGAAACTACGAACTAACAGAAGTAACAGTTCATTGAGATGGTGGTGGATTACGAGAAATTTAACACAATAACTGGTTTTTCATGTTTAGCATTCAGTTCTGTAATGATTTTTAGTGATAACGTCTAATAAAATAATTGATCATTTTAAGTTATTTAAAAGTTCAAGGATTGTTGCTGAAGCTGCAGATAATTACTCGCCATTAATAAGGTTTAATAGTCTTAATAATGAAACGACTAAGTAATCTGTAAATAAGTCAATCATTGTTTGTTACGGTAGTCAAAAGCAAGTTCTGATTATTTTCTGTTGAAATATGTGCGACCTAATAGGATCCTCCAATAGTGCCAATCGTAACAGCTTTTATTGTCTATTACGTGATTTGTGGTGTTCGGTTACGAAGTAATATACAAAGGGTTTAGAAGTAATACAGAGTGAACATATCATAATTTCAACTGGGTTGAAAATAATTATGTACATAGGAATTGATTGATCATGTAATATTTAAAATCTAATCAAGCAGTCGATTCATATGAATTGTATTAGACACAACCTTTGAACGTCGGTATCTAATGTCCTCATATCAAACCTACATGTTCACATTTTATTTTTAGCGGCGGAAAAATCTATAGATTTTTTATTAGATATTCATAGATCTCACATATTTGATGTAAGTGAGTCTTTAACCTGATATCAAACGTTCAACTTCATTATAATGAACAGTCAGTCAGTAACAACGTGAAACTTCGTACGTACGTACATCAGTTCGAGTTGCCACACCACATTAGCACAGAGATGCAGTTGTCGACTCAAATTCCGTACTGGTAGAGGTAGTAAAAGTATAAGCAGTAATCGGAAACATTAGGGCTTGAAGATGTTATTCAAGAAGTATAATATAGTCAAATAAATTTGGAAAGAGGAAAAAAGGGACACGAAGAATCCAGAAGATTAGAATTTGGGAGAACACAAAGAGTGGATGTACCTGCGCCATTGCAAACGATCTTCAGCCATGTCATTCAGGGTCTCTAACCATCGGTTGCTATCATCTCGCGGATCCCAATCAGGTAGTCTACACCTACCAACATGGCTGAGTTTACTTGTCAGTGACTTCATGGACTTGTGCCATGTTTTGGTCTGGCCACCCCTAGCTTTCTTCCAATCTACTCCTATACAATTGAACATCGCACGTCGAGGCAGTCGTAGTTAAGACAGTTTATAACTCAAAGAATAAATCCTTTGTTAATATAAATTATTTAACAAAAATCAAACTTATAACCTAATAACTTAGCTGCAATGAAGGAATTTGAGTTATTTTATAACACTTATTAATCTGTATTCTAGATTTTATTTTACAAAAAATTATTTTCATACAAAAGATCTTAAATGTAAATAAATAACTAGTTAAACTATATTCCTTTTTTGATTATTCAAAACTTATAGAAAATAAATCATTTTCCAGGAATGTCTGAAATTTGTCGGAAAGATAGTTTAGCGCGTAATTTAAATAGAATGATCAGATTATTTCCCAAAGACTATAATATATTTCCAAAAACTTGGTGTCTTCCATCAGAGTAAGTTGAATTTTACTATTATTGTATGTTTCAGGTTAATTATGATTCACTTTATATTATGTTTTTAAAAGAATTTATTGTAATTTTCACCATTATCAAAATATATCCCAAGAAAACTCATGCATAATTATGTATGGATGTCTTTCATAGATACTGTCTATAATATAAGATTGATGGTGGATTTCATTTAACTTATTAATCATTTTTCATCGGAAGAAAGTAAAGAATAAAATTCACGTGGTGAATTTTAACAAAATATAAACTGACCTACCAAAATAAACAATCAAAATACGAATGTACTTTCAAAATTACCAAAATAAAAAAACTCATAAAGATTTAGGTAGAGTTTTGAAGAAGTAACATTTTTACGATTCATATATTTGCCACTTATAATTATAATCTTACTACTATCTATACAGATTATTTTTAGCAATCCTAGTTCAAATCTTTTAATTACAGCGTAATCAATCAAAAGCTTACAGTTTTGACTATTAACTACTCAATATGCCCAGTAATATTAACTAGTTTTGCAAATATTTGATTATGTTAGGAGTGCTAAAATATTTTAGTATCCAGTTATGTTTTCATTATAAAACTTTTTTTCAGAAAATAAATATACATGGACTAGTTTTAGTGAATTTCTTTTTGTTTTCCTGGAAACAAAGCCAAAAATGTAAATCTGATCAATAGATCATAGATTTATATTTAGTAAATGAGATGAGTTGAACGTAACAAGAGTGTTAAACAAAAACTAAGACCTTAATGAATCTAGCTGGGGATATACTTCATTTGACATTTCATCAAACTCCAATGGTTTATGTTTATTCTTGATAACATACATACATTCCTAAGTGGTACGTTTTAACATACATCTATCGGAGATTTGAACAATTTCTTATGTTACTTTTGACTAGTACTCCAGGATATACGTCTCAAAACAAGTCGTCAGTGAATATATTTAAGCAACGGTCACTAAGGTCAGATAGCGCGTTTCAAAAACTGACTCAATCTCTTTACATTCTGAATATTTTAATGGTATGATGTTTAAAAATCCAGAAATATATTAAAGATCATGTTAAAGATTTCTAAATTTCTCTCAATAGTTGAGTTTATGATGACTATTTCAGAGATTTATCACAACATTCTAACTTATTTAATGATAGTGATTATCGTTGTCTTCAATTAACATTTTCTTAATTTCTTTTTAGTTGGAATGATATTCAAAATTATGCTAAGAAGCATAAAAGTAAAACGTTTATTATAAAACCAGATAATGGATGTCAAGGTCGTGGTATTTATATCACTAAAAATGCTAAAGATATTCGACCAGTGGAAAATATGATTTGCCAAGTGTACATATCTAAGGTGAATGTTACCAATTACTATTGTTGGTGTTATTATTATTAGTAACATTTAGAATAAAATGTATTACTTTCTCTATCAGTGACTTGTAATGAATTTCTACGTTGATAGTATCCAATTCTGTGCTGGTTGAATGTATAAAGAAATTTTTTGTTTTACACAAGGAGACGAAACATGATAAATACTGGACCATATAAGAAACGAACTGCTTAAAAAAGAACTAAATAAAGTGTTTTGCAACTTACCAAATATAAAAATGAGCTTTGTAAACTGAACGAACTTTTGGTGAATCACAGAAAGCTCGAAAACATTTTCTGAAGGATGTAACAAATTTAGATTTCGGATCTAAAAGCTATGGGATACTGATATTGAACAATCATCTATTTATTGTGAACAATTGTATTAAGAGAAAAAATCGTCGAAATATGTCAGCTACCATTTTGATAGGTAAAACGAAATATAGCATGCTCCAATTGTGGTACTAAGTGGTATAAATTAAAAGAAACCTCCTTGCTTGTTTACAGATTTTATCACTCACCAATTTATAAGATCTTATGGGGCTTTTAACATAATGAAGTGGTCAATTTATTTAAGAACATTCTTTATTGTCAGGCTAGACTTTGATCCAGAACTGTCCTAAACCAACACATTTCAGACATTCCTGTATTGCTAATTATGGGGCTAAGAGGACTCAATATTTTTCAATTTGCCTATCAAACATTGTGTGCCTTCTTAAAGTAAATGCAAACATATTTCCTTAAAAAGTCAGATACATGAAGAGTGACTTCTAGAATCATACTCGCAACAAAATTAAACATAAGTGCAGAAAGCAAGCAACTGACAGAAAGAATACTTGACTGAATCAATTGAGAGAATAATGATTAATGAAATTAAATCAATTGGAATTGTCAAGGTACGACAGATATTTGTTATAAGTCTATTACAGCCAAGAAATATCTCTATCGACGTGGTTTAATTTTACTTACAGCTTCGATTAACTTTTTTGATCATTAAAATAGTCCCTTTTAAGAAGCAGTATATATACATTTATTTGTTCTATTAATTTATAGCATCATTTGTTCAGTAAACTAATCGTTTGGTCAATACATTCTATAAATATATATTACATAATATAACGAAAAATGTATGACCCAAATGTATTGAATAACTGCATTTATGTGAATTAATAATTGGACTGATTTATTGTTGACAAATATGATTGTGTTAATGTTGCTTTTTAACAACTGTATATTATTTGATTAGATGTAATAATTGTTATGTCCTTAGCTTATACGATGACTGCGAATACGATTGCTAAATTTAAATACACGAACTTATACGACCAACAATTTACGCACACACCTGAATGAACAGCCTGGAGTCCTGATCGGTCTTTTTCCCTGCCTTTCAAGTCCAGAACATAAATCTCAGCCTTCGCAATATGAATAATATATTTCAAACATACTCGGTTTATATACGGACCCAACAGACTACATCACATCATAAATAGAAAATAGCATTTATACAGGATCAAGCCAAAGGGGCTGTGATTTTGAGAAATTGTTACGAATAAATGGGAAACATCTCAAGAATAGTAAATCGTATGATAGCAGTCAATAGGTCAAATAAAAGCTTATAATGAAAGGAATATGAATATACATAATCTAGTTACGTAATTGTTATACAATAAGAATATGCGTATAATATTAGTCCATAGATAGATCACAACAGTTACCTTTGATTATTCTCATCGGGATATAACAATAATATCAGTCAACTGGCTATAGTAAAGTATCTAGTCTCAGAACATGCGAGAAATAATAATATAATAGACCATATGAACAAAAAATAACTTCGTTCTCAATAGTCTTTGTAATTAAATGAATATAAACAACATGAGAATCACCTCATCATAATTTCTTCACTACTGACTAAATGAACTTGTAGAAGTCTATTTATTTGAAGTAGAACTTTGTACTCATTAAAATCCGAAATGATTATAAACTATAAAGATTGATTAGAGTCAACTATTTATGGTTTTTACGATGTTTGTTCAAACATAATGAAAACTTGGTTTTATAGTTAACAAATGTAGCAATATTCATTAATGCACAACTATTCTAGATCATACCATAATACAGTTAGTCAACTAACTGTTAAACAAACTAGAAATTTCTGTTATAAAAACGATTCTTTCTGTTGGCTAAAAGTGCTTTCTTCATTTTTTTTCACTATAAAATTTACTTTTCAGCCTTTTCTTATCGATGGATATAAATTCGACTTGAGAATTTATGTTCTGCTTACTTCATGTGACCCACTACGTTTATTTGTATTTAAAGATGGCCTAGTACGTTTTACTACATGTTCTTATATTGAACCAAATCAACGTAATGTACATGACATGTATATGCATTTAACAAATTATGCTGTACAGAAACATAGCGAAGGCTATATCAGAGATAATGAAGAAGGAGGAACAAAACGCCGAATTACAACGCTTAATCGATGGTTTAAAGATAATGGTTATGATGTGAAAAAGGTTAGTTGATATTTTTTAATCTTACATATATACTATTTTCAGAATTTTGATGGCGCCATATATTTACGCTGTTGAAATATGAATATTTAATTATTTATTCATGTATGAATTCCGGTTTTCCAATTGTTCAAATGAACTAGAAGCAATACATGAGTCATGTCCTATTACTTACTTACACCTGTTACTCCTAATGGAGCATAGGCCGCCGACCAGCATTCTCCAACCCACTCTGTCATGGGCCTTCTTTTCTAGTTCCATCCAATTCTTGTTCAATTTTCTCATGTCTATCTCCATTTCCCGGCATAATGTGTTCTTTGGTCTTCCTATTATCCCCCTTTGGCCTTGAGGATTCCATGTGAGGATTGTCTTGTGACGCAGTTGGGTGCTTTCCTCAATGTGTGTCCTATCCACTTCCAGCGATTCTTCCTGATTTTCTCCTCCGCTGGAATCTGGTTTGTTCTCTCCACAGTACGTTGTTGCTAATAGTGTTCGGCCAACGGATCCGAAGTATTTTACGTAGACAACTGTTAATAAACACCTGTATCTTCTGGATGATGGCTTTCGTAGTTCTCCAGGTTTCTGTCCCATACAGTAGAACTGTCTTGACATTTGTATTGAAAATCTTGACCTTGGTGTTGGTTGACAGTTGCTTTGAGTCCGAGATGTTCTTCAATTGTAAATATGCTGCTCTTGCTTTACCGATCCGTGCTTTCACATCTGCATCAGATCCACCATGTTCATCAATGATGCTGCCCAGATACGTAAAGGTTTTTACATCTTCCAAATCTTCTCCGTCAAGTGTGACCCGATTGTTACATGCTGTGTTGTATCGGAGAATCTTGCTTTTCCCTTTGTGTATATTGAGACCTACTGCTGCTGAGGCTGCTGCTACACTGGCGTGTGCGATAGAAGAACCAGATCATCTGCGAAATCTAGATCATCCAACTGCATCCTATCTGTCCACTGTATCCAATGCTTCCCTTCAGATGTTGACGTCTTCATGATGCAGTCGATCACGATCAGGAGAAAGAGAAAGCGTGAGAGTAAGCAACCTTGCCTGACACCGGTCTTTACTTCGAACGAGTTTGTCAACTGTCCTCCATGCACGATTCTGCAGTTTAATCAGTCATGTCCTATATTAAGAAAAAATGGAGATTAGAATGGTGACGATAAGTGCTAAACCAGCAAAAAGCTAATTGTCAATTCGTTTTGTTCGTTTTTCATATTGTTCTGTTTATCAGTTGATTCTCTAAACCACGTTAAATTTTCATTATCTATTTGTTTATACTACAACCACTGGAACAATAATGTGTTAATGACAGATGCTGACAGCCGTATGTGAGTCTCCTGCATTAAGCATTATAAATCTTACAGGATACATGATTTCTTTTCGGTGTAGTGATATTTGGCAAAGACTTGCATATATTAAGTTTCTTTTACATATAATACTAATAGAATAATTAAATGTATATATATAATTTCAATGATTAAGATCATAAGTCAGTTGAAGCTAGACTACCATGGAAAACCAAGAAGCATTGGACGGCCGTTTCATCCCACTGTGAGACTCCTCAGCAGTCCGCATCCGTGACCTCGCCCCCTGCAAGATTCGAACCCAGGACCTACTGGTTTCGCGCGTAAGCACTTAACCAGTGCTTCCAGGTTTTCCATGGTGGTCTAGCTTCAACTGACTCATGATCTTAATCATTGAAATTACTATAATATCCACAAAAACCCATCTGGTGTATATATAAGTAAAAATTTGGATTTGTGACTTCTCGTAGCTTCATTTAAGTCACTTCTTCCTTGAAATGCCAGAAATCCAAATTTTTGTTCATTGGGATATCAAAAAATATATTTATGATTATTTCATTATTATTAACTTTCTACCCGAATCCCAATTCATTTGGAACATTTCTATGTAAGTTTATTTGTAACTTTCAGCCAAACTGATCAATTCGAATGGTTTTCTTTGCTTCATATCAACTTGTATTTTTGTTTGTAATTTATAAAAAAATCACACAAAGAAAATGATTAAAATACAGCTTAAATGGAAGTACATTGTCACTCACTAACTACAGCGTAAATATTGATTTGGTTATTCGTGATCTAAATCATCACTTGTGCAACCAATCAACATTAAATCACTAGGCTAATAAACGAAACTTGTCCATGTCGGGTCTGAGACGGTTGTCCACCACAGACAACTGAAAATGATCCCACGAACTGGTGAAACTCTTGAAGTTAGACTTATACTTTATTGTATACTGACTCAACCGTCTAAACGTCAGGAATCCGGGCGCAAAACTGAACGTTTGGAGTTCGACCTCTGGCAATGCAGTCATGGATGCACACTAGTTAGGACTCCAACACTGGAACGAAACATTTGTTCAGTGCTTCTGCGTTTTCAATAGTGGTTCAAATAAGATCAGTCCGTGATGTAAATTACCAAAATTTAAAAATTTTCACAAAATCCCTATACTGATTAAATCTCATTGTAAAGCTGGCCATAATTTTTAACCTGCATATATCATTGCAGATAATATATTACACGATCACTAATGGATATAGTGTGAACATATATTTTGAATGAAAACAATCAAAATTAAACAGATAAGTTTAAACTGACTTAAAGATGAGTTTAAAATGGCAGTTTTCAATAAAATGTTTCTCCAACGACAACAAATACTCGGAATGAAGTTCAAATCTCTAACTTTTATAACTAATAATTCTTGAAGACATGTCCAATCACTGAATTTATATTATTAAACAAAAATTGCAAAGCGAATGTTATTAAGTTAGTTGTTATTTTAGAACTGTATTGACATATTTGACTTCATCTAGTTCCATCTTGAAATAGTTCAAAACTGGGAACAGTTACCGGATAAGAAATGAATTATAGTCAAATGTAGTTGACAAAGATACTTCCATAACAGGTTTTCTGTTTATTAATAACAATCACTAATAACATAAGGAAAATGATGCTACACAGAAATACAGACTACAGTTACTTACCATCATAACCACAAGTTACTTTTGAGATACGACAGATGTTTCCGACCTATTTCGAAACCAAATACAACACTGATGACTATAATTCATGAACGGCCTTTGAGCGATGCCAAAGTGATCTTGAAGGTGTCCACCTACTAACTAGGACTAAATGATGTTTAAAAACCAGTGCGATGAATCAGAATTATGATTTACAGTTGATGGTTAAGATTAAAAACTATATTTAGGGTTTTCGTCACGAACTGACATCAGCTAAAATGTCAAAATGCTATTTAACTAAATGAACGATTGAATTTCGCACCGAAATCCAAAACCTGTTATCGTAAATGTAATTGGTTCGTCCATAAATTATAGTCTCGCCACAATATTCAGCTGCAATATGTTTTAAAGACGTACTTAACTATAAAACAGCAAATACAATAGGACATTGTGTCTAAATTATTTATTTATTAATAACGCACAACAATGAATGATACTTAGCACAGTTAGCTACAAACTAATGATAATATGGATGAGCGTAAATGAGCAGCTGATCTAATATTGAATAAAAGATATTCAAATAATTGTATTAGGCTCGTCAAATAGTTATAATTGTATCCATGTGTTAATAAAGTTTAGAACCGTACTCATTCCTTTGGACTTCGTAAGGATACCCATTTGACTACAGAGTAGAAATAATAATGCCATATTTGATCTTCACTGTATTCACTAATAATTGCAAAGATTTGTATTTTTCTGGTTTTTGATATTCTGGACTAAATTAGCATATAACTACTATAAATTGATGGACCAATGAATAAAGCCATAACATTCGAAGTAACGGGTACTAGGCTGAAGAATTAATCGGGACATTTAGGTTGAGATGTTGGTACATTCGGCTGACGAGTCCCACATCAAAGAAAATCCACATCTTAGATCCCACTTCTACTCACAGTCCAAAATATTACCTACTTGTAAATTAAAACAACTTAGAAATATTGAATAAAAGCACCTATATGTAACTACTCACCACAGATGGGACAAAGAAGCCAAATACGATATAAACATACAAGTCCATCCTGATTATAATCACTAGTAAAAATGAAATCCCAGTCATAATTACTAATAGTCTATCATTGTTAAATTTTTCTTATTTACAAACTAAACCATATTTAACTGACTAAATCACTTGAGTCATTTTAGATGATTCGAGGATCACTCCATTCAAGTAAATTCTCTAGTTTCGTAATGAATTTCCGAATAGTATCTAACTTATTATATCCTAATTAATTCAAAATTTTTAGAAACTTCTCTGCAGCTCTTACTTGCTCTCATGTAATGCTGATCTACTAAAAAGGTTAATGAACTGTTCAATTTTACACCATTTCGTATAATGAAATATTTCTAAGTTCATATTATGGTTCAACCTGTCAGTAATATCATAAACAATTATCTTATGTAATGTGATGTTTCTACAAACAACATATACATATACTCTATACAGATTCCACTCCACTGGTCATGGCTTCTCACTAGAATTCCAGGAAATTCATCTTGAAACCAGTCACTAGTGAGCACATGATGATTATGATCAGAATGGAGGATTATACGTATATTGGGTAGGTAGATGGAGACTTCAGATGTAATAATTATTTCTTTCAGTTTAAAAAACAATCAACTAAGTAACCAAACCAAGTGAAAAAAAGACGATATGGAAATTTGTATAATTTTAATCATCCTGAAATATCTTAAACAAAGTACGATCGTAAAGCACGTAGCATTAGAATGAAAACAAATATATAGTGATTAGCTGTTCTGGAATCTAAGATAAAAAAAATTAGATTACTTTCTAAAAATGAAAGCCTACCGTATAATCAGAACCATTAATTTCCTATAATAAGGTCTAGAACTGCTTATCGATTCTCTTTTACAATCTGAAACATTTTCTTGTCACATTCACTAATGCTATATTGATCAGACTTGATTTTAACCCTGTTGTTGTTGTTTCC